TGTGCTTGAGTTAAAGGGAGGTCATTGGGGTGGCCCTAGTCCACTCTGTCTGGAGCATTTAGAAGATTAGGACACACACATGCACAAATACAGAGAGAAGACCATGTGAGGATACATAGAGAAGATGGCCATCTATAAGACAAGGAGAGAGAGGCCTCAGAAGAAACCAAGCCTGCCAACACCTTGATCTTGGTCTTCCAGCCTCCAGAATTGTGAGAAAATAAGATTCACTGTTTAAGCCAGCCGGTCTATGGTACTTTGTTATGGCAGCCCTAACAAACTAATATAGTGCCTAAGGTTTTTGTATTTGTGTTTTCTTATTAAGGTTATTAGATTTATAGATTTTTTTTCAGAAAATATATTTCATTGAAATATCTATATTTGATATCTTTCTGTTCCTTTTCTCTCATCTGGCTAAAATTTCTTGTTTCCCAGCCATTTTTAATTAAAACTCTGTGGACATTGTTTCACTGTCTTCTGTCATTTCATGTTGCAAAAAGAATTTTAATATAAAACTAATACTTTACTTTAGTAGACAACCTCTTTATTATTCTGCCTGCGTTCACACAGAATTTTATATTCTTTATTTTTGAAGTGAAAACACATCATAAGAATATATAGCTTTTTTCACTTATTTTGTCTGCCAATCAAGAGCCCCTTTGATCCAAAACCTCAAACATGTCTTCCATTTAGGAAAAGTTTTCTTACATTATTTTGAGTATTGTCTGTCATCTTTCTCCTCTGTTTTCTCCTTCTGAAATTGTTGTTACATGAATGTCATGATCCTAGATATCTTTTCCGGGTCTCTTATTTTTTGTCTCATCATTTTCATGACTTTATTCTTTTTTTTTTTTAAAGATTTTATTTTTTCCTTTTTCTCCCCAAAGCCCCCCGTACATAGTTGTATATTCTTCGTTGTGGGTCCTTCTAGTTGTGGCATGTGGGACGCTGCCTCAGCGTGGTCTGATGAGCAGTGCCATGTCCGCGCCCAGGATTCGAACCAACGAAACACTGGGCCGCCTGCAGCAGAGCGCGCGAACTTAACCACTCGGCCACGGGGCCAGCCCCTCATGACTTTATTCTTAACTTTCAGTTCTTGAATTGTCTCTGGGGCTCATCTACTGTTTTAATAGACTAGGGTTTCAGGTGATTCATTTTAGGTGAGTTATGGTAGTTTTTGTAATTCTTATTGGATACCCTGTCCTGTTTTATTCATCCTTTTTTTCTCTTTGCATTTTAGTTTGGGCAGTTTCTATTGACCTGTCTTCACATGCACTGATTCTTTCCTCAGTCTCTTGATGAGCCCGTTAAAGACATTATTTCTCTCACATTGTTTTTGATTTCTAGCATTTTGTTTAATTATTTCTTAGCATTTCTGTCTTCTAATATCCAGTATACTGATGAGCCCATCAAAGGAACTCATTTATAGCATTTCCTTTTGATTCTTTTTTAGAGTTTCATCTCTCTGTTTATATTACTCATTTGTTCTTGAATCTTGTCTACTTTTTCCATTGAGCCCTTGACATATTAATCATAGTTATTTTAAATCCTTGTCTGATAATTCCAACATCTGTGTCATATCTTAGTCTGTTTCTGTTGCTTGCTATGTCTCTTCAGACTGTTCCTTCCTTCCTTCTTTCTTTCTTTCCTTCCTCCCTCCTCTCTCTCTCTCTTTCTTCCTCCCTCCCTTCCTTCCTTTCTTTCTCTCCTCTTTCAAATGCCTTATACTTTTTTGTTGAAAGCTGGACACGTTGTATTGGGTAGTAGGAGGTAAATAGGACTTCAGTGTGAGGACTTAGGTTAATATGGCTAGGAATTGGGCTGTGTTGTTTACTGTAGCTGTAGGGGCCAGAGATTTCAAATTCCTTTAATTTCCTCGTCTTGGTTTTTGTCTTTTGAGCTTCCCTAGTACTCCTCCTCAGAGAAAGTTTGTACCTTGCACTGTTAATTATACTAGAACCCCAATAATTTGGTGGTTAGATGTGCAGATAGAGGGAGCTTTCTGTAATTTTATGACTCAATTTCAATCTTTTAGTGGAGTTGTTTCTCTGTGTGACCTTCCTAAGTTTTGTTCCATTGATAAGCCCCTTTCCCCCCTTTAGATGAGACAGGAAAGCTGGAGAGTGAGAAGAATGCCTCTCCAGTTAGGATAAGGTTCTAGTAATTTTTTTCCCCTGGGGAGTAGGCCTGTCTTGTGGAGAACTCTCTGGGTGAAGTTCACAAGGATTGTTCTTACCCTCCAGAGTCAGTGGAACACCTTTCTGGGATCTTCACTATGAGTACCTGGTGTGCTTCCTAGAGGTAAACCCCAACAAAGTGTGGGAATCCCCTTAAGTCTGTAGCTCCCAGGCATTTCTCATTCTCGCACTAGTGCACGTGTAGCCTCCAGCAATTTATCAAAGCTATCCTTTAAGCGTTCCTACCAGCTTACGGCTCCAGGGGTCATGTCTGTCTGCTCTAGGGAAGCAGCCTTGACTCAGGATTCACATTTCTCTCCAGATTTTGAGTGATGGTTTTCTCTGAAACCTCAGTTTTCTGAGGGGTCTGAGAAAAGCATTGATTTTAAGTTTCTTCAGCTTATTCTTCTAAAGATGGTAGTGACAACATCCAAGGTCTTTATTATGTCAGGGCTGAACATGGAAATGCATATGTTACTTTGTGCTGCATTTTCTTACTTCCATCTTTGAACTTTCCACAGGGACGCTTAATAATTATATTGCAGGCAAGAATTTTTAAAAGTTTCTTTAAATATGGGAGATACAACACAAGGAAGAATTCAGACTTGATATACCAACGATACAAATGCTTTTATATTTATTTACCTGCTGCCAGGCACTGTGATAAATATTTTCCTTTCATCCATCTACTCTTTATAACAAGCTTATAAAATAGCTACTATTTTGTTGTTATTTTACAGGTGGGGAAACTGAGGCACAGAGAGTTTAAGTCATTTGCTTCTGGTCTCACAGCAATTAGATGACAGAGCTAGAAGTTGAATCCCAGTAGAATGCTCTAGAGCTTGCTTGTTTAAACACTGCCGTAAGCAGTCTCTCTTCTTTGTCAGCTAAACACTGCTAAAGCTGCACAAACTTACATACGTCATACAATCAGTGGCACATGCACGATCTCTCTGAAAATCCTGATAGTACCCCAGATAAATTTTATTGGACAATTTTGATTTAAGTTTCCTATAGCTTTAGACTACTTACCTACTTATAGTCTTCAAATTAAAGATAGATATGTTATATTAAAACTACATACAAGATAAAAACACATGCAAGTGAAGAAACGATGAACTAAGAAAAAATAAAGTAAGCTAAGGGTTAAGATAGTACCCATGCTGCTGCAAGGCTCTGCAGGACTAGGGTCATGTGAGGCAGGTGGGGCATCCTGTTTGACTCCTTGATTCTTGTGCTCTAGGCACCTCACTGGCCTCACTCTAGCCCTGGTCCTGAGGCTATTCCTGGAAGATATGAATCATGGAATTGTCTGGACTAGGTTTTACAACAGTAAGTACAAAAAGAGAAACATGATCAATTCTACAACTCGCAACATTCATAGGATAAAAACAAAGCTAGTAACTTAGAAGAAACAACTATTGTTGGAACCTGGAATGAGAAAAAATTCTCCAGTGGTTCCTCACAGAGAGATCTTTGTGTAATACCGTGAAAAATGTTCTCAGCAATGTCAGAGTGGTAAAAATGAGGAGTTTCATGGGAAGAGGCTCATAGTGCGATATCTAAATGTAATTTAGTGAAAGTGGTGACCTCCTCTGGTCTCAAGGCAAGATATTCCCATGGTCTAGGCCTATCCTTTATTGTACTATTTACTCCTAAGTCCCATCCAGAGAAATAAAGGGCTCAACTTTGTTGACCTACCTTGTTTACTTTATTTAATGTAGTGAATAATTATGATATGTGTGTATGTATATGTATTCTGGGGGGAGGGAGGACTTACCAGTTCAAATTTATCTACAATTCACAATGTGAGAACTTTCTGAATGACCTTAAATGTCTTTAATTGTAGTTCAGGTTGCATGACTGATAAACACAAAATTGGGTCTAACAATATGAAGGAATACATAATTATCAGGAGTGTAGTGGTCATAAGAAAAATAGAAAGCTATAGATAGCAGCAAACTAACATTGGCTTGGCTTGACTCTTGCAATGTGGGAAGCCCAGAAGGAATTAATTGGATGAATTCTTCAATCATTTCTTTGTCTAATGATCAGTCATATTTGGTATCATGACAGATGGTAGAGTTCTGCTGAAATCGAGACAGCTTTGAATAAGGAAATGTGTGAAAACTCAGGAGTTCCTCCTACAAGAACTTCATTACTATTCAATAATTAGATTTGACTTGTGGTTGGATGCAGTGGTGATTTGGGCTTAGGGCTTGTTAGAGATGGGAACACTTCTATAAAGCAGCACCAGATTAAGCAGCGATAAAGAAATTTAAATATTCACACCATTGAATTTGGGGCTAGGATAATACCCTTTTTGGAAATCTGCTTTGCCCCCCATTACAAGTGTATTTTCAATTGGGGTTTGTGTATTCCTGTGGAATCTAATTCTTTATGTTATTTTGTAATTCAAGTGATAAATTAAAAAGAAAAATTTTTATTTCCTGATGTAATTATCAATCTTTATATCTTTGGAGCAAAGTTACTGGGCTTCAGCTTTTATGCATCCTTGATCCCATTTCAACCCCTCCTCTTGCAGAGCAATGCCATGGTTTTGGAAAGAAGAGACACCGTATTTCAGGTGACCACAGAGAGTGAATATTTTTAACAAGATTGAGTTAACTGGGTCGCAGGGGCTCTGTGGCTTTATGAGCTACAGCATGGCTGATTTACCTGCAGTGTTTCTCTTTCTAAGGTTAGAGATGAAGACTAACTCATGAATGATCCAGCAACAATTTGATTACCCCTCCATTCCTTAAGAAAGATAAAATATCAAAGAATTCTAGAATATATATTATATTTAACATCTCCCATGTACATGGGTAAAAGGACTGAGTTCCTTTTAAAGGCAAGATGAACATCTGGTTCAACACTGGATCCTTCAAAAGACTTAGCTAAGTGTCTCCTAAAGAGTTGGTGTTCAGTGTTTATTTGTTGAATGGATATGTAAAAGATGCTAATTGGCCAATGCAAAGACAATGGGTGAGGAAAAGTCACTCAGCTATTAATGGGTTTTGAGCATCTTTTGGAAAATAGGCTTCATACCACACATGAGATATGGCTGAAATTACTGAATATACCATAGGTGACACAGATGTCCAATGTCCCTTCATCTTCCTCTTGAAACCATCTGTCCATGTCCTCCACATTCTAATAAGAGAAAATCAAGCATTAGTCATGTAGAATCTTCTGTAAATGTGCTAGGAAAAGTAGAAAAGTGGACTGTAGCATAAACAATTTAGAACTTAGAAAAATTCATGGATTGATTTTTTTTCTTGTTTTCCTCTCCCAAGTTCCTCTTGTTCCTTTTCATCTTCCCTTCCATTGAGCATCCAGCTCTCCCTAAATACAGTATCCTGCTCTCAAATGTTTCTCGAGGTAGCTAAATCCCTCGCCCCTCTATTACATGTAGAATTTGCCTCTCCTGACTTATTACAGTGCTCGATAAAATGCCCTCTGGTTAGCATTATATGCATTCAATAATTCAAAGGGACCTTTATTAAAAAGATTAAATGTTGTTAATAATTAATGCATTAACAAAAATTAACATTATCTGATAATATGCCTGTCCTAGATGTGGCAGATGGGAAAGGTCTGTAATATACAAAGAATTATAGCCATTTTTTGTTTGGAGAGGATTAAAATAAATAAGCCCTAGGAAAATGCAAGTTATGATCCATCTCAGGAATCTATAAATCTTGAGGGTCTAACTGGAAATGATCAGGGAGTTCCTGATTCTGCGTAAACATTATTTTAGGTTATTCAAATACACCTTTAAATGCTTGCTCATGGTTAATGGGAATGTCACCTGGACATTGCTCAAGGAGAATAATGAATATAATGAACTCCATGAAGCTATTTTGAGTAAGATTGCATGGAGTGATATTCAGAAGGTTTTATTCTTGTTGTTTTCAGTATCCCCAAGCTCTCCCTTTGTTAACACTTTCATCAAAAAATGCCCCATCCTTATTCTTTTTGATGAAATGTATTTGATGACTCTGAAAAACAGCCGAATTAGTATTAACTTGTATCATGCTTTGCTGTTTCGATTATCATTCAGAACTAATGATTTAATCACTATTCTGAACAAATGATTAAATAGACATTGTTATTGTTATTATCATAATTATTATTTTCAATGAACAGAGCCAATTTCACCATTTCTCAAAAGTTTTGCCTTGCTATAGATATTTTACCTGGTTTCCAACAGCCTACTCATCTTCCCACAAGAAGCCATATATGAGCCTGTCCTATGGCCAATCATGCCTTTCCTTTCCAACTCTTCCTCCCTTAATTCTACTCCTCTGCCCAGATCATTTGAGACTATCAAGATTTGACTTTACTTAGCAGTAAACCTGGAGGAATGAAAAAGATCTCAGTTGGTTTTGGTCAGGAAACTGACAATGTGGGTGTGATAGAGGTTGCTCCGTGAGGTTACATGCTCTTTATCAAAATGAAAAGGGGCCAAAGGGATGAAGCAAGAGTAGCTACTCTTGGGTAAATATTTCTACTAGTCTAGTTACCATGGGGATCTCCTTGGCTTCATTTTAGGAAATAGTCCAATAAGTTGGTAGTCATGGAGTTATTAAAAGAGAGCAGGCTAGCTGAGAGTAGATGATTGGAGGGTAGGCAGGCTTTTAAAAGTATCTTCCCAGCTATAAAGAGGTACCTGTGTATAAGACCTATATGGTGTTGAGCAATCACAACTTGGAGTGACTCACCTAATGCATGAAGTAAAATGGCAGAGCCACCAAAAACCAAACAAAACAAAATAGACACACACAAGCTACAAACCCGTGCTTACTTCTCTGAATTCCCTGTACTTTCTATGGAAATCCCCCATGAGTGTTTTCAGTCAGTACTATTACTGTTCTACTTCAGAAATTTGGTTTGGAGGCAAACAAATTTCCATTAAAAAGCCTAGAGTTAAATATGTTTTATTTTTTACAAGAGCATAACCGCTAAACACACATTTAAACAAAACTATTATTACACGTGTTAGAAAGCCATTTCACGACACTGCCTTATAGATAACCAGAATTAATGTCATCTTCAAATATGAAGGACAGGTCCTTCTCTTTTTTAAGAAAGAAGTATTTGAAAGTAATTTACACTTCAATTATCTTGACATGAATGTCAGCTGCATTTAGTCTGCGTTGCTGAAAAGGTGAATAAAGCCAGCTGCTAAACCACTGTGGTCGCTTTTAGAACAATTTCTTTTATTAGGTCAATTGAAGCAAATAGAAGTATCTTTGTTTTCTCTCATTCATTCTTTTCTTTTCTTTTTTATTGAGGAGCAAGAGGGGAGGATATCACAGAGGGCAGGATGGTGTGATGGATTAGTAGAAAGTGACTCCCTTCAGTAAAATGGTCATTGAGATGTCTTCAGTGTTGACAGGTTAGGTAGGGAGTAGATTGTTTTGATGCATTTGCAGCACACAGGTGACCATATTACCCAAACTGGAGCCCTCCTTGGCCAGATCCACAGAGAGTGTGATGCCTGAATGGTGTATAAAGTCTGAGCCACCAACTCCCTTTTGGGAGGTCAGACAGCAGCAGGCACAGGAAAGAAGGTGGTTGGAAGGTCAGAATGGCCTAGGTAGAGCTTAGGTTCCTTGTACTGCTTTTGTCCTTAAAGGCACGCTCTTCACAAGACGTTGACTAGCTTTTTGTGGGCTTGCTGGACCTCACGCGCACAGTCAGATTGACTCTACCAATTATATCCTCTGATAGTGACACAACATTTTTATTGTTCAAATCATAACTCCATGACTATTGTTGTCTTCTTTTGGCCCATTTCCCAGTTCCATACCTTTTCTGTGCATTGCACCTAATGCATGTCCTTTCAATCCATCTTCAACCAGAGGCAAGAAATATGTAAATGTTCATTAACTCTAAAATATTGCTTAATATATAATTTTAAAATTCACACAAATAGATTATTTGGTATGGACTATACACACTGCAACTTGATTTTTTTTTCGCTCAGCATTATGTTTTTGGCACCCATCTATGTCGATAAATGTAGCTTGATTCTTTCAACTGTGGCATAGTATTCCATGGTATAATTACACTTTTTTCTATCCTTTCTTCCACTGACAAGTATTTAGATAGTTTCCAGATTTTGCTAACAGGTTTACATCATCAAGAATACTCTAATGAACAACAGTGTACATGTTTCCTTGTGAGTTTTTACTAGATATTCTCTGGGGTAAATAGCAAGAATTAGGATTTCTGAGTCTTGAGGTATACGTTTTTTCAAATTCATTTTTCAAAATGGCTGTACCAACTTTTTTTCCCATCTGAAGCACAGGAGAATTCCTAAATAAATTTGCAAGTGAACAATAGTCATTTAAGAGAAAATAGAATTTCTCCAGGGATGTGGTTATGATATTATCCCAGGGTAGGTGAGTTGAAGTTCTTGACAAAGCCTCTCCATAGGACTAATCTGTGGTCACTGGGGAAGCATTTCTAGGAGACCACGTCCAAGGCAAGATGGAAATGACCATAGAATCAGCCATCAACTTGTGCTCTATTTGTTAGTTGAGTGTTATTTTTTAGGAAGCTGATGGAATTTGACTGCTCACATCATGCACTGACTTCCTACTGACATTCAAGTGCCGCAACTCACAGCCTAACCACTCATTTCAACCTGCTGGAGGCCAAGCGTGATATACTCGGGTCGGCAACTTGCTGAAGCATACAATCACATCTGCCACAGGCTTGAATTAAGCAGCTACATAGACAAAAGCTGTGAAAGATTCATCAATCACAGGTTGTCTATTATTGGGATTGAAACACCTTCTAACTGTGGCATAGATTTGCATTGATTGCTATAGGCTGTGAGTAACGTGCTGCCTTCCCTGCTTTGCACTGCACTGCCTCTGCCTTTGGACTGCAACCTCAGACATAGAGGCTGATTTCCTTTCTTCCTTGGAGGCTACTTCTGCATTGCAGAGACAACGGGATGTTAAATGGAATACAGATACATTAGGTGACTTGACTTGGTGTGCAGTCATTAAACTTAATATCATGGCGAACAATTCTTTGACAATTAGAAATTGGAGCATATGATGTGACAAAGGCGTTTTATGCAAATTTAGTGTCAGAGGCAAACTGGGAGATGCTGTTTGACACTACAATATGGATAATGGAAACAAGCGAAGAGAATGCCTGAAATCAGGATTTTCAAAAATAGGGATGATGGCCATATTTTCAATGTCTTAACAATTGTCTCTCATATTACTGTTCCTATGATGATGGGAGCCAACTTGTGTCCTTACACCGCTGAACAAGGGGAGGTATTTTATATTAAGGACAGTCATAATTAGAAGGAGTTTGTTCTTGTCTATGCAGTACGTTTTGAAAGGCTTTTTTTGGACTTCTCAAGGTGCTCTAAATTTCACAAGTAATAACTATTATTGATAATAGTCACATTTGTCAAAGATGTACCAGACATAGTGCTAAATGCTTTAAATCACTTGATCCTTACAACAATTTAAACACTAGGTATTATTACTCACATTTACAAAATATGGAAGCTGTATTTAGGTTAAACAACTTAAATTGATTTCTCTATGTTAAGGTGATCAGTATTAAAATACCCCTGGGAAGTGTGAATTTGTTACTCACAATTTGTCAGGGATGCCCAAGGGGAAGCAAATATGCCAGAGCCAGAAGCCAAGATTCACCTGGCATTATAAAAGATAAACTTCTTTCGAGCATCTATACAGGTGATCCTCAACTTCTATGCATCTTCCTTTTGTGCAGTCTCTACTGTTTTTACGTTTTACAGTGATGCCTCAAACCACTTTTCATATGTCAAATTCAGATGTTCATTTCTCATGGTTAGTAAACATTTTGAACTATAATATGGTGCTGTCAAATATACTTTTATGCATCAGTTTCAGGAACATCTTCATTTTTTTGCATATAGCAGTGTTTATTTGTGTAACTTAAAATGTTTTCTTACATTTTAATTTATTTGACAAAAGTAGTAATTGGGAAAAAATAAACTTCCATTGGTTATAATAATAATAAGAGAGAATTTATTATTCTGGTAATGAGACAAAGATGGATGTCATTCATCTCAATTGGGTACTCAATGGACAAATGCAGTTTGTTGAAATTATACATCCATGAGTTTCTGC